TTGCAAAGGCTTGGCACAAAGGCTCCCACTCTCCCAGGCTCCTGAGTGCGTGCGTCTGTCTCTCTCGCTCTCTTCCCCTCAATTCCCCCCTTCTCCCTCCTTTCTAAGTCTCTGCCAGCCTGCAACTTGCAAACATAATAGTAGGAGTGCCCCCGTGATGCTCTGGCCCGCCCACTCTTTCAATCAAGCGCCCATTGTTTCCACAGCAACAACCAATGGGGCCCCTGGCTGCCAGAACTGCCCTCTGCCTGCCTGCCATGATAGGAGCAGCCCCTGCAGCCAATGGGGGCTCCCCGTGCAATGTGGAGCCTGGGATGTGTAGTCCCGGGCCGAGCTGGCCAGAGGGGAGGATGCTGGCTGCTACTCTGGCGCCACCCGATGGACGATTTAGTGTACTGCAACACATGTTCCATTCTTCTGCGCTCTTGTTTACAAATACTGATCCCCCAAAAATAATTCTCCCCATCTGAGTCGGAGGGTCCTGTTGTTATATCCACGTCTGTATACAAACTCCATGCACATTGACAGCTGTTTATTTTTGTTTTTTTATGTAGCAATTTTACTTTCCAAAAAAAAAAAAACTATTGAAAAACAAAAATACAAAGTCAAATGTATCCAAAAAGCAAAAATGTCATTAACTGCATCTTACCGATCCTTGGGTGTGGCGTCTACATTCATTTTCTTTATTCTTCCCTGGTGATCCCACCAGTGGCGTCACAAGGGGGGTGCGGCCCGCACCTGGGGGGACACCATTGGAGGGGTGACACCAAAATGACTCGAAGTCATTTTGGTGTCACCCCCCTCTGAAAGTCCGGCGCTCGGTCATGGACCGAACGCCCGACAGTATCAGAAGAGAGGAGGGGACCCGGCAGCATACCTTATCCCGCTGGGTGACTGTCCCCTCCTCTCTCTGCCGGCATCCATCACCAAGATGGCCGCCGGCAGGCATCAAAAAGACCACAGCGCGTGCGGGACACCCAGCCTCGGGACACCACTGCCTAGGACCACCAAAGGCGGTCACCTAATGACACCTAGCCATCTATAGGAGCTTGTTGGACATCCCTTTCCAAGACCATGGACATTAATATGGAGAATACTGCCGCGCGTGCGCGGACGTCATCGCGCACGAGCGTGGTGACGTCATGCGCAGTGACGTCTCGGCGAGGGGACACTCGGTTACCGCTCCGGGTGTCACCCAGCCTCGGGACGCCCCTGGATCCCACCAGTAAAACACTTCCTGTCCTCGGGTAACACACTTCCTGCCCTCGGGTAACACACTTCCTGCCCTCGGGTAACACACTTCCTGCCCTCGGGTAACACACTTCCTGTCCTCGGGTGACGACGCTCGCTCGCCATACTGTATCTCTGGAGGATCAGCAGTGTCATCCTAAGACTTTTAATGTGTCAGGCTAAAGAAAACCATTCCCTCTCCTCATCTCCATAACACAGGGGGGAGGGTTCTGTAGTTCGCTTAGGAGAACTGGGTAGACCTGATAGAACCAACACCGCAGCAAGTACAGATAGTGATCCGCTCACTGGATTTCTGGCAGGATCAGCAGATCATGTGTTGCATTTATTAAACAGATACAATAAAAACACTTTCAATAGTATATTTAAGAGACCAAAAGGGAGCCAATGAGATAAGTTGATTGTTGGGGTCTCTATACACTTTAAGAAGTTACAGTTGACTCTTGCTTCCTCTATAGTAAGTTTACTGTTATAGAACACTGAGAAGATGTGTTGCCTGTGATTGCTGGACCAGAACTGGTCAAATGATCAGGAGTTCTGATAAAAGAAGGATGGAGAGATTTGGGTCTAGAAGGACAGTTGTGGAGGAGAGAGGGATGGAGGGAGTTGGGTCTAGAAGAGGGACAGTTGTGGAGGAGAGAGGGATGGAGGGATTTGGGTCTAGAAGAAGGACAGTTGTGGAGGAGAGAGGGATTTGGGTCTAGAAGAAGGACAGTTGTGGAGGAGAGAGGGATGGAGGGAATTGGGTCTAGAAGAAGGACAGTTGTGGAGGAGAGAGGGATGGAGGGATTTGGGTCTAGAAGAGGGACAGTTGTGGAGGAGAGAGGGATGGAGGGATTTGGGTCTAGAAGGGGGACAGTTGTGGAGGAGAGAGGGAAGGAGGGATTTGGGTTGAGAAGAGGGACAGTTGTGGAGGAGAGAGGGATGGAGGGATTTGGGTCTAGAAGAGGGACAGTTGTGGAGGAGAGAGGGATGGAGGGAGTTGGGTCTAGAAGAGGGACAGTTGTAGAGGAGAGAGGGATGGAGGGATTTGGGTCTAGAAGAGGGACAGTTGTGGAGGAGAGAGGGATTTGGGTCTAGAAGGACAGTTGTAGAGGAGAGAGGGATGGAGGGATTTGGGTAAAGAAGAGGGACAGTTGTGGAGGAGAGAGGGATGGAGGGATT